ACATATACATACATACATACATACATACATACATATATATATATATATATACATACATACATATATATATATATATATACATACATACATATATATATATATATATACATACATATATATATATATATATATATATATACACACACACACACACAAAGGCAGATGAGGTGTCTGACACATGCATTTCTACGGGCATAACCCTAATCCAAAGTAGAACAAGCCCTACCCAGTCCTAAGCTTAACCATACGTAACCAAACAAAGTACAAGACTTCTGGCATTTTTATTTTTTTGATTGCATTCACAGATCTTGATAAAGTTGAGTTTCCCCTTGTGAGGACCAAAAAATAACAGGGTTTTATCAAGGTCCAAATAACAGGTTTATATCATATTGTGGTCCCCACACTGTTATATATACATGCCGGCACACACACACACACAGTACTGCTTCATCCTGTTTATTTTCACCATTTGGACATAATCACCAACATTTTTTTAAATAATCAAAACAAGGCATAAGGACACATACAATGAGATATAACACGGCAACGGACATTACTCGCAGAACACTGTTTCTCTCCCAGGAGTTCCCTTACTTGCACACAGACGCACACACTAAGTATACCTATATTCACACAGCCAGAGAAAGTTCCAAAATGGATTCCTGTTTCTCAGCATTAGGTTGGCCTTTGGAACTATCAGATCAATATAATGACTTACATGTTGGAGCAGGCCTAGGAGCATGACATCATCTAGCTATTCATTGCCTGCATGGACAAATATGCTTCTCCCTCCTTTGAACTTTCCATTGCCTACCATATTGAAATATGCCTTTCCTACCCATCCCAAAGGTAACTTTTACCTCAGAGTAGAAGAGGCCAATGTGAGGGCTGATGGGTGTAGAATTACCCATCTGTTAGTGACGTGTTTGTACCAGAAGCAGCAGACATGCATCCCAAAATGAGAGCATCAAACACAGAACTTATAATTCAGACACTGCAGCTCCTGGAGCCTGAAGACACCCATTCCTGCTTTTGAGGCTCATCCCAAACTTAAATAGCAGCAAAGTAAAGGCAGGGCTGATCGCTGATGCTTTTAAATGCATGCACAACACCCAGGTATGTAACCTGACAGATTCAGTCCAACATCTGATCTTGTGGAGACGGTTCTTATGGCAAATACAGCAGTGCCTCCCCTGGTTAAGCTGCTGGCATGTTATAGACCTCAAAAATAATCTTTCCCTCTAAACTGCACTATGATGGGCCTTAGCCCGATTTAACGTCAAGTAGGTTTGATCCATGATGCCCCGTCTCAACGGCAACAGCAGTTAATTATTCAAATTGAAAAAACAGTACTGAGTGATCTACACAGCATAAATTCAGTGGATATATCTTTCAGCTGAGTCTTGTCATTACGACTAGCTTTTCTACACTAATACGGCTGCTTTACTTTGGCCATATTATGAGAATCCCGGTATATTGTTTAAATAATAATAATAAAAAAAAGGACCAACAGCAATCAAATCTTCACAACAATGAAGGTGCGACTGGGAAACCTGAAGGGCAGGGGAGCAGACAGGATGTTCCTGGGAAGTGCCGTCTACCTCGCTGCCAAGGGTCAACGCCAGCTTAACAGAACTGAAAGGTAATAATAAAGTAGGAAGGCGCTCTCCGGCTCACCTCGTTTTCCTTGCTCTCATACTTGGACGCATTCTTTCCTTGGCTTTTCCTCCGCAGTTTCTTCAGGTCCGAATGCGACCTCTCCAGAAAGTCCTGTTTCACTTTGTGTTCTGTCTGGTACCTTTTGAAAGTGGCCTGCAGGAGCAAAGTTATTTTGGAGGCTCAGGCATGTACAAAAACGTACTCATACACCGGCACAACCTTTCCAAGGGGGGGGATACAAGAGACAGTAACGTTACTTACATTCATGTATTTCACGTCCAGTTCCGTTTTCCGTTCCAGCTCGGCGATGATCTCCTTGTGGAACCTTTTGAACTGCAAATGGGAAACACAAGTTTTAGTTTTGAAGAGACGTTTTACAGTTACTCAAAACCATGAGGTACGGAGTCTCAGACAAAAGACAAAGGGAATACCGCCCGACTTACTGGCAAGAACTAGTCTTAAAGTAGGATTAACAAATGTGTCACAGGCAGGCTTTTCCCAGAGCTAGGCCGAGGCCCCCACGCTCCAAGTATGGTGATCACATTTCTCAAAGTACTGCTTCCATGAAAATTATCATACACCTTCATACTAATTAATCTCACTTTG